ATAAGGTCATCGACAAACTGCAACGTCGACGCAATCCGATGGCGGCGCGAAATTTCCTCCTTTCAACCTGTTTCTCCCCACCGTTCACCGTTATTTCTGTTCCTTCCTTCTTTCTCCAATCTTTGTCTATTTCGATGGAAAAAGAACGATCGTTAAGCCAGGAAGCACGCGCTTCCAACAATTCAAGCGGCGCGACGTCGTTTCGACGAGCATTATAATATAATAAGAATTGGATTAGCATTGAATGAAGTGGGTGGCGCGAGAGCGGAGAGCGATAAAGGAACTAATAAAAAGCGGCCTTTTTAGGGCGAGCATGGTGGTCCTCGTTCAACGAAAGCTCTCCTGGAATAAATAAAAAAAAAAAATGGGACTACCGTTGCCCACTCTGTTCCGAATAGAAAGTATATACTATACATATTCTCCTTAAAATGTACTCTAATTAAAATGTTCTTTTTTTATCATTTTTTAATTTTTTGAAATGTATCGAAATGTTTTAAGTTTTTAATTTTTAATTTTTAAGTTGAAAATTGAAAAACTTTGTGTGTCTTTTAAGGATCTAAAATTAAGTTTAATTTATTTTTCTTAACAAAATTATATTTTCAAATATTTTTAGGTAAGAGAGTATTCGTTCGTTAGAAACTCATAACGAAATGAAATTTGATCTTTAGTTTATCTTTATTGGTAAGCATAGAGAATGACAGGTAGCGAAAAGACGAAGAGGGATTGAAAGCCCAAGTACTTAAGGAAATTTATGACATACTGTTTTAACGTGAAATTACTCACTTCACTGACTTCAAGGGGGAGTCTCACGATAAAAACTCGAGCATATAATAAATAAAACTATATTCTTGAAATTCACGATCTTATAAATTTTAAAGAATGCTCAATAAATATTAAATTAAATACATTAAATAATTAAATACGTTAAATACATTACCTATATTAATGTAAGAGAAAGAAATTTTTAAAATTGTTTAATTCTTCTTCAGTGAGCAAGAAGCAAAAGAGCTTAAAATAAATAGTATATAGGACTTTTAATCTCGCGAAATGAGCATTTACTCGCGGACGATGGAAGCTTCTGAAAACTGTTGTCCCGCGCGTCTCTACGGCTTCATCATCGTTTCACATCGATACTAAATACCCTCCTTTCCCCTTCGGCGCGTCATACCCCTCAGACTGTTAATTAAATTATCGTCAGACAACTGCTAGACGAACCTCGAACTTTTTAACTTTGTGGGCCTCGTGTCACGTTGTCGTGTCCCCTCTTTGTATTCAGCCAACTTTTCCACCGGTTGTCTTTTGTCACTGACCCAGACTTCGAACTCCGCGAAATGACCAACTTGGTATTATGCTCTCTCGTCAGATGAATTTTCGAGGATGCATATGTTAATAAATATGTGTATACGTTTTTCGTGAGTATGTATAGTTTGAAACGGAAGAAGCATTTGAATTAAGTTTTGAATTAGTAGTTTTAATAGAATTTATCTCTATTATACTTTCATTTAAAAAAATTATTTCTATTTTATTATATGTAATTAAAATTTCTAGAAAATTGAGATATAGTGAAAAAAAAATTAATTCTTAAATAATCGAGATTGAGTTGAATTTTTTTTTCATATAAAAAGATTTTACAAAGTCTAATAAAAGTGTCTTGGTATTTTTTTGCTTAAAATTTTTCTATTTTCATTAAAATATCTTTCATATATAACGTGCTGTTTTTTTTCATATATCGTTTTATTTTGTTTTATTTTTGAGAATAGAAAATTTTTGAGAATAGAAAGTTTATTTTTAGATATTTTTTGGTATTTGCATACCATACAAATAAAAATGGAAGATTGGAAAATTAAGAACATTTTAATTCCAAATTTTAAATTTAATAATAGAAAAAAAAATAATAGAAACAATTTAATAATATAATAATAATTACTATATATATTATAATTAATTAATAGAAATATGAAATTTTATAATTAATATTTAAATTTCAGAATTGAATTTCTTTTTCCAGAAAGTTCATATTCATAGGATAAATTTATATGTATTCTTTCTTCTTACTATTGATGTAAATTTACATTATTTATTTTTTTACTTTTTCTTATAATTTCAAATTTTATCATTATTATTTAATTCAAAATTTATTATTTATTTTTAGTGATAAATTTTATAATTTTTATTTTTTTTGCAATGATACGAATCTTTTTTGACAATCAACTTTTATATTTTTATTTATTTGCTTTATCACAAAGAGAAATAACCAAATAATGGCATGACATCGAATATTAAATTTTTGAGACTGTTTCTTCAATAGTATATAAACGTGCATGTAAAAGTCATATCCCGATAATTTTTCCCGTGAATCATTCTCACCCTTTATTCGAGCGCAACATGATCGCCATATCAGTTAAAATCATGGACAATAAAAAAAAAATAAATACCATTCCCATTTATTTGGTCTGAAATCTAACATTAATCGGATTGATACGTGTCTCATTCACTATTTAATAAGTTCTCGTCACGTACATTCAAACTGCACGCTAGTTGTAAAACTCGATCTATCGATATACATATCTGCAAGCATGAATCTTCGATATTCGGTCACGATATTATTTTCCACACAATATGTCGTGACACACGCTGAACAAACACCCGGGAAGATATCGTCTCTATGGTTTTTATGAATAGAATATCAATTTCTATCAGTCAAATAATTGTAAGAAATACCCACGTGTTCGTCCATCTTTAAAATTATTAATTTTCAATACCGCTCTCTACTGATTTGGAAAATGAATATCGAAATTAGGTTAAGTATAAAAAATTTGTAGAATTCCAAATAGATATATAATTTCTATTAATCGAATTGCAACAAACATTTATACGTTCATCAATTTTTAAAATGTTAATTTCCAATAATATCTCCTATTTTTAATTTATAAATATTGAAGCTGTAAATTTTCCGTATTTTCTAATTCGATTCAAAAATAAAAAATTATACGATTTTATCATACAATTAGAATTTTTTTATTGAAAACTAAATATCAAAACGAGAGCCTTAATAGGATTTAGAAAAGTCGACGTATACTTATTGCTACGTAATGTACGGTCGTTCGTATAATCGGTTTGTGACCGTTCCATGCTCGGTAACAATAGTTCGAGGCGTCGACGCTGGACCACCCGCGGTTTACCATTAAAATCACCTCCGTAGAAAGGATACGTATCGAGGGCTAGCAACAGGGGGACAAATATTGCATATTTTTTCCTTTTTTCCTCTCTTCTGTTTCTTTTTTTTTTGCATATTAAAAAGAAAAAAAAAAAGTAGCTATGAATCGAGAAGAGGAAATAAGAGTCAGTGGAAGCTGGTCGAATGAGTCGACACCGATCTCTGTGTAACGCGGAATTCCCTGGCGCCAAATGCCTTTAAACCTTCGCTCTAATAATATCCCATTGTGCTACCATTAGCCACCGAACGCGCCGCCACCGTCCCTTTCGTGCTTCTTCTCGCTGAAACGTTGCTTTCTATTCTTTTTTTTTTTTTTTTTCTTCCAGATCCTTTTGTGAACCTCTACCTCCGTTTCCAACGCGAGAGGCTTCTTTATGACGTGCTTTGTAACGGCATCTCTTTGTGTTCTTCTCTAATTTCGAAAGAATTACTAAGCGAAGAAGTGTTAAAATTCAGTAACATTTATGCTAGGAAAACGAATTTCCAACTTACAAAGTTTATTTTGTTTCTTCGTTTCTCAATTTCTTTATTTTCTTCTAAAGAAACATAAAATTCTGAAGCGAAAAAAGCGTTGAAGCGATAAGCCTACTGCTAGGGATTGGCCACGAGCCATCCATAACTGCAGAGAAGCGAAATTCGATCCTCACTTTTTCTTCGTGAACCATGACTCGATCGTAGAGAATGACAGATTATTTTAGAATAGCGAAAGACGAAGTGGGATAGAGAGTTCAAACGTTTGAAGAAATTTATGTGAAATTCTGGCTTCTTATTGGATCCAACGAGAATTTATTTTCGGTGGTGGGGATAACTGCCAAGTCTATAACGAATAAATATTGTCGAATACGTTATGGGATCTTTTGGCAAGTGTATCTCGATTAACGGATGGTCAGTCACTTGTCGATGGATTGACTGATTCGTCGCAACGAATTTGCTGTGAAATCGTCGATTAAGATGATGGATTGATCGATTTTATTTCGAATGGGCCGTTCGCATAAATCGTGTCACGCGAGTGTAGACCGTTTGAGGAATACATACATTCAAGTTTCGAGACGAAATTAGTCACGAAGCAATGGCAAAAATAACACCATCGGTATCATTCTTCACGGCCGCGATTCACGTGCTTGTGTCGTTCTTGTTAACATACGCATACGAGATACCTCATACGTCGCGTGTAATCGTACGGATAAATGGTACACGTTGTCAAGTTTTATACCGTAGTAGTATTTATTTCAGCTCAAGGGAAAGTGCAGGTATTCTGAGACAATGTATTCATTCTTGGTAACCATCGTCGCTTGTACTTAATCGATCATCGTTTTAAAAGTCGATGTAGCACTGTCATATAGTATCCAATGTTTACAATAATGCTAGATGTTACATTGCGGTCTTAACCGCTTCTCGCAATTGACCTTAATATACGGATAGATAAAAGGATGGAAGATGGATTGTGTCATTTGTCTTCACCTTCTTTTATATAAATAATTCTCGTTTAATAACAATCTTTAGAATTTCATTATATCACAAATTTTTAAACATTTTTTTATTAAAATTCTTTAATTTTCTTAATTAAAATTAAAATTAAAAACATTTAAAATAAATATTTTTATAATTCGTGCAAATTGGAAAATATGATGTTCCGATATTTCTTGATATTTCTTTCCTCTCTGTTTCACCAATTAGAAAGTTAACCTAATGTATAAAGGTATTTTAAATTTCCAACCCTTAAATGAACATGTTACACTTGCAACCCTTAGGTAGAGTAATTAATTATGCTATTCGATTGCAGGGAAATCCATACGGATTGAAGGACACGACGGGAATGGGGATGACGGCGGATATGGGTGCAGCATGGGGCACGGCCGCCCTTCAACCTGCCGCCACGGGTTACTACCCCTACGATCCAACCCTGGCCGCCTACGGGTAAGTTTATCACCAGGTTTCATGGTCTCTCGGCTCCATTAGATTAAACCACCAGTCGCGTTTCTCCTTCCTCTCTCTCTCTCTCTCAGCTTTCGAGAGCCGCTCATGGTGCCGCCATTAAAACAAGAGTCACGATCTCTCGTACTCGTTACACATATCCCGGCAGAAATGGTTATCGTTATCGCGAATCCGTAATATCTTTCCCTCGATGTAACTGGTATACATAGCTTTAAGCGGTCCGTTGACATTTATTTCAAACGATCTTTTTAGTTTTATTTAGATTCTGTATCTAATAAAAATTATTTGACGTGAATTATAAATTTTAAGTTAAATTTTTAATAAGATTAGCATGTACGACTAATATGTACAAAATAATTTAATGTTATTCTTAAAATTCAGTACATTTTCTCTATTTGAAGCAAAAAGGTTTTTTTTTTATTATTTTTCATATCAATGTTAGATTGCTTGATTTTTAATATAACTATAATAAAAATTAATCATGAGGTTAAACTATGTGTATCATAACTCGATTAGATATAGAAGTTATCATTACATATACGCAGCAATTACATGGCATTGATTAAGATGAAAATTTTATTGAGAGATATATGAATAAAAAATTTAAGATTTTTAAAAGAAAAGAAGATTTAAGATATGTTTCTTTTATAAGAGAAACAAATTGTCAAATTCACTTCATCTCCAAACCAATCCTATGAATCATTCTTTACCCCATTTCAATCTTATTCATTCCCCTCGAGAAAAACCTGAAGAAGTAGTATATTTACAAAACAACGCACGTCCACTGAAGGTGGCCGACAATTAATCCGTAAGAAGGGTGACGAGCAAACCGGATGCTCGTTCTTGCCGCTCGTGGATAAGAGTTACGAGGGTGCTGTCAACATGAGGACCCTTGTACTTCATCTTGTAGGGAGACTGTGGAATATCGATGGCGAGTGGAAAGAGGCGAATCGCCGCTTCGAGAGAGGACGACACCATTCGCCGCAAATATTGTATATCGGCCGAGTTAAGTGATTTCCACGCGTGTATTTTCAACGGATTCCATATTTTCGTTACGGATCCGTGTTTTGATTAATAATGGCCGGCCACGGGCGAAAAAGTGACGGCCGAATTTACGACGGATATTTATTTCGCTCGCGGATCCGTTGTATCGCGATACAACGGCGATATATCAAAATCTGTCGGAACGGTGGAACGATTATTTATCGAGGATGGAATTAAAATTATAGAAGAGAAAGTTGCTTTGTTCGATTCGGCCGACGGCTCGTTTATTCGAAACGCGGAAAGAGGGAAGAAGAGAAAAAAAGAGAGCTTTCTTTTGTAATTCGAAATTTTGTTTATTCTTTGAAAAATTTGGCACTGTATTTATCGTAGAATTAATTCGATTCAGGTTACACATTAATTTTTCGTTTTTATTTAACGATACTATTTTTATACGTTTATTGGAATTTAATCAAATATTTTTTGTAGTCATTATAGTTTATTTAATCTCTTTCTCAATCATGTTATTATATTTTTTTTTTCTATACTATTAATGTATTAAATAATAGAAATAATTTTTAAAATTTAAAAATTACATTGGAATCGATTATAGAAGGAAAAACATATAACTCATTGAAAATAAGATTCTACTGTGCATACATTTTTTTTTTAAATATTTACGATTTAATATTCATATCGCATATCTTCAGAAATTATTGAAGACTTACGCAACATTCACAATCGGAGAGTTTCATTATCTTCGTGATAATATTTTAATATTAAATTAAAAAAGGGGGAAACACAGAAGAAGCAACCTGCATGCAATAACGTGGCTCAATAGATGGCGCGCAGGGTCTTGGAATCGTCTGAACAGTGCCTTCGTGGGAACGCGGAGGGTTATTTTCGAAAACCATGTGTCGCGTGCCGTTGACAAAATGAGACATTGACATAGATTTCGACGCTAGGCGTAATTGGAAACACTTGGTTCTCCACGGGGCACTCGATTATTCTCCTCCCTGCCTCGTAAATCTAAATCCTCGTTTCTTTTCCGCTTTTCCTTTTTTTTTTTTTTTTTTTTTTCCACCATTTCAAAACACATTTTATCTCGCGCACTCGACCCTCGTTATGCGCTACTCATCCGTTATAACTTCGAACGCGAGCGTTTTCACTGGCTCGACTTTAGTCCACAAAGAATACATAGAAAAACTCTTGTCTCTCTCAAAGAGTTCTTTCCTTCTGTAAGAATAAAATATTCGTACATTCGTATTTCGTTTCATGAGAGAGAATTTCGATAAGGCCTATATAATTAGAAAAAGAAGAAGAAGAAAATTTTCAAAGATATAAGAATCGCAACGAAGAATTCAATATCGAGCTAGATCTTCTTCGAGACCCGTTCCCAATTCCTTTGATCTCGCCGAACCACGGTTCTCGTCATCTTTGAACGTGTGTGCAGGAACGTCGTCTCCGATTCCTCCACCGTTTCTCTCTCTCTCTCTCTCTCTTTCTCGCAAGGGGGGTGAAGAGACACAGAGAGGAGATTCGAGAGGAAACCGTGCACGGCGAACGGTTACAAAATGGCTGTAGGCAGGCCGAGTGGGCGTACGTAATGGAGGCTTCCAGGTTGGCTGTATATATAGTCGCATTGCGAGCGTAGGGAGAGCAGTAGTAGGTCTCTCTTCGTAGGAGAGCGAGTGAGTGAGTTTATTGATTGGCTTCCTCCCGGGGTTGGCTCGCCTGTTCGCCAGGCCTCTCTGTTCTCTCTTTCGCCTCTTCCTCCTCCTCCTCCTCCTCCTCCTTCCATTCTCTCTCTCTCTCTCTCCTCGCTTGCTCTGCTCACCCGCCCCCCTCCTCTCCCGCCTTCTTCCACCTCTAACGTGGCGACCTCCTTCCACCCTCGAAAGCGAGCCAAGCTCCCACAGGTGCTTTACTTACTTTGCTTAGCAACCCTCGTGTCCACACACAAACACGGCTCTCCTCTCCACTTCTCCTCCTCGCTCGCTCGCTCGCTCGCTCGCTCGCTCGCTCGTTCGTTCACGCACCAAGCAACGTAGTTTTGATTCTCTCGGCTCGTACTCTCTCTCTTTCTCTCTCTCTCTCTCTCTGTCCCTCGCCGCCTCTTCCCCCTCTCCTGCCCCTCGAGAGGATCCACGAGTTCGAACGTGTACTATGGCTCGGTGTGCAAAACTCCAAACGAACCGTAGGCATTGTTTATCGTGGAATATATCCAACCCTCCTCTCCATTCCACAGCCTCTATTAATTTACTTGCTTAATAATACGACCTCTCTCGTTCTCCTCGGCTCGTCCCTTTTATCCCTCGTCCGCTCTATTTGTCTCTCCTCCGCGTTTCCAACTCTTCTCGTGCTCGGTCTCTCTCTCTCTCTCTCTCTCTCTCTCTCTCTCTCTCTCTCTCTCTCTCTCTCTTTCGCTTTCGCTCTCTCTCTCTCGCTCTCTCGCTTTCGCTCTCGCGTCACTTTCGTCGGTGACGGGCCGTTATTGTTTCGACGACGACGACGACGGTTTGCATTTCGGATGGGAAGGGGGGACGAGTGTCGATCGAGGCGGACGAGCGAGAGAATGAGGTTCTCCGATTACGGGAAATGAGAAATATTCTCAGGTCCTTTGGGAATCCTCTCGATGCGCTTTTGAATCCTTTCTTCCGTGACGATGAATTCGGTTGCGTTTTCTTTTTTTCTTTTTTTTATCGGTTGAAATTTTAATATTCTTTACAATGCCTTGAACATTTGTTCGAATTTATATACGCGTATTAATGTTGTTAGGGAGTTGAGTTATGAAATTTGTTGAGATTTAAAAATTTGTGAAATGAATAATTACAGGAAATATACATTTTCATCAGTCTTTTGTAGATATCAATAAAGTGGCTGGCTAATCTGGCAATATCATAATAATATAAGTTTTTATCATGTTTGCGGAAAATATGTGTGAATAAATAGAATGTTGAATGTTATCGATCGTCATAATGTTGTAAAAGGAAAAAAAAAATTACTGCAAAAATCTATCGTTATAACATTGTATAACAAAGTTTAAAATGAATATCTTTTTTTTGCAATACTATCTACCAATCTGTGATCAATCTAATCAATTAATTAAAGAAATTAATTAAGAAATCTAAGATTCTAATAAAATTAATTAAATGGTACAAAAAATATTTTATACCTCATGTGACTCGAATTATTTTTATTTCTGTTCGTAAGACATTTTAATCGTCAAATGAAAATATTAGAAAATGTGAGAAAAGTATGTGGAAGTATGTAATGTGGAAATAAGTAATTAACCGTTTTCTAAACGATAATAAATGAAAAGTGAATCGCGGTTGGAATTTATTTTCATTGAATGATCCGTTCTCACGCTTGGTAAGCAATACAGCTCTCTTAATTCCTTCTTGGTACATTAATTTCCCTCGAAGAGCTAATGGACACCAGGTGATCAATGTTTTCCGCTCGCCTTATACACCTCTTCAATCTATTCCTTCAAACAATTTTTAGCGAGCAGGAGTGAAAGAGGCGCAGATGCGAAAGAGCCACACACGTATCTCTTCTGAAGCTTCCCCATTCGTAAGCGCCATTTTTCACGTAGATCCCGCGACACCCTCGCCCTTCTGTTCTTCCCATTTTAACTCTCCAACTCTTCACGACACCCCCGCTATTTCACTGAATAAAAAATCACGGCGCCGATCTTCCTAGGGGAAACTCTAAAACTAAATTCAGAGGAAAAACCGAAATTCCAAGTTTTCATAACTCAATAAATATCTATACACTATTCTATTTATCATAGAATTTGTATATTGATTTATTTAGATCCAAGTATAATAAAGTAGCTTCATATAATATCTGCAATTCCGACGAAATCATTTTTTGCAACGGTAGACGAAAGTTTCACAACTCGTGTCATTTTAAAACTGATTTCCACACTTTTACACGCTCTCGATATCGTTACATATAAGTAAAAGTCGATTATAGAATACGCGTAAGAAATTTTTTTT